CAAGAGGTAAATGAGGCACATTCTCAATTTTTAAATTCTTATTTCCGATCACTCTCGTACTATGCCTTGACGTGTCTGTTTGTCTGTCCGCTAATAACTTGTGTCTACACACAGGGGTCAGGTAATGTATCTATGTGTGCTTTTCGTTTGTCTGCGTCTAAGTTTAGGGAACTGTAGGAAATTACTGAAAACTGCTGGGAAACTCAAGGACATTATGGGAAACCGAAGCAGTTTAGGGTGGGAAACTACTGTAAGCAGCTAACAGCTTGATAAAACAAGAACCATTACGCAACAACTTATANAGAAAAAGCAGGGACGCGGTCACGACATACGGTAATAGGTAGGTCGTGCCTTATCTGTAATGGCTCATAAATGATCTTGATAAAACAAGAACCATTACGCAACAACTTATACAATGCTTGTAGATTATAATTTCTCAGAAAACTGGCCTTACCTGCCCCCCCCCCCTCCTTTGTTACATGAACGTCATTTAACCTCGATGGTATTACAAATAATCTGTTTGTTTCATGAAAAATGAATACAGACTACATTCATGGATAAATCAATCACGTTGTAATAGTCTTCGATCTAACGGATGATTATCTTGAATTACTATCTCACACGGTTGGAGTTTTTATTGTTGTAAACGTTTTAATCGATTATTATAGGATTCGGCATAATTTGCGAAAGCCGATGTTGGACGATAGACACTGACTCGAAAAATCGATCGGAACATTTATATGATAACAATTTTTTCCACTAATAGACACATATTCTTGATTATAAATACTTTGTACACAAATCATAGGTGCTCGTTGTCCATCATGTTTAAAGGAATTTTGAAGGTGTGTTATATCACAGCATGATGCAATGTATATCGCTTCAGTTCGTATACGATCGAATAAATATATCGTAACTGATTGTTTGAATGTTGGTATCAACTTTTTATTACATTTCGTACAATGTGGAGTGAATGCTTCAGTATAATTATTGTCAGATGTGATAATGACTTTCTAGCCATATTGATGTCGCCGCTATTTGTTTGTCCTTCATATATTTCAACAGCATCTGACTAATATCGTACTTATGATATAGTTTTACCAATAAATTAGGACATAATGAGAGAATACAGCGAATGTCTGCATTATTTAACTTTATTTTCTTCTTCTTTTCATTCGTAACTTACTATCCGAACTGTAATTTTCATTAACAATTGAGCGAATACCTTTTATTCTATTGGCTTCGTTTACATCGGTATTTTTATCAAGATCATTTATGAGCCATTACAGATAAGGCACGACCTACCTATTACCGTATGTCGTGACCGCGTCCCTGCTTTTTCTTACGTACATCCGACAGAGTAGTCCGTTTCGAGCTCTCGTTTTTTGAAAAAGTCCGAAGATCGGAATGGAAAAAGACAATAACCAAAAAAAATCCGGATGTTGGGATTGAAAGTTGTCTGGGTGTACGAAACGGAATGAGCAAAGGTTTTTTAGTGGTTTTGCATACAAAAATGTCTGGACGTTCGTAACAATCCCTGACTTTTTGTTAGCATCCCGTCACTTAGTCGGATGTCCGGAAGACGAAGGACGAAAAAGGACTCAATCGACCATCACAGATGTCTTCGAAAGTATGGGACTTATTTAGAGCAGATATTGTCATGAATTTTGACAGAGGTTCTAAAGTTATAGAAGTTACAAGAAAAGCCCTAAATTCCTTTTTCTTTTTTCTGTCTATATCTCTGAGCTGACAATGAACATTTAAGACTTTTCTTGTAAATTCTATAATTTTGCAAAGAAAGGTCGTGTTGAGCTGGGGGATGTCTCATTTTGATCAGAATTTCGTGGGCTACACTCGTAATCTATTAAGAGAAAGTTTCAGAGATTTCTGGAGTTTCTGGAAAACTGTTTTTTCAGCAAATCGCTCCAGGAAGGCCTAGCAGCCCGTCTCATATGGATATTCGGAATCAGCGCGATCGATAATCTATAACACGCTAGGTTAGGTGCAAAAAGCGATTTATCAGTTAGTGTACTTCCCTCGTAAGTCATTACGGAGTCACACCGAGTCACACGTCATTACGGAGTCACACGTAGTTTAAGACATCTGGCTTTGGAAGACATCTGTGATGGTCGATTGAGCACATTAGGTCGTGGCTTATCTTTAATGGCTCTTATAAAGAACATTAATTCAAACTATAGTTATCGCTCATCAGCAATGCTAACTGCACTGAATCAGCATGTTTTAAGGTATGTGAAGAGGTAGACATTTCATTCTTAACTTTAATTCTAGTCTAGAATTAAACGTTGAGCAGAAACGCATGTTTTTCCTCGCATTATTAAATTAAACCTAGAAACTTTATGATACATTGCCGAAGATACTAAAGAGAAACAGGTAAGCCTTAAGAGAAGCTCCGTCACACCGTTGACTATACTGTCCTTAGGTAAATTTTGTTTTAGTTTTATTCATGTCTCATTTGAAAGAGCATACAAAATAACCATTAACTTTGCAATAACTTTTTCTGCAAGTGCTTTGTTAAAAAACTAGGTGCCAAACACTCTATTGAGGGGCACTCTTGTTACTAAAAATGTGAATTTTCACAAATTTTCGTATTTTTTGGTTTTCTCAAAAACTATCAAACTTCTATGCTTACTTAGTTCATGGCTCACTTAAAAGAAGATTGTTTGTTCTATGAGTTTATATATTTAGACATAATAATATGTTCACCTATCTAGGTCTAAATACTAGAAAAGTAAAAGGTTTCATATTTTTAAAATTGTACTTCTTCCAGTACTTTTTAAATATATGCCATGTACATGGCAGCCCGAAGAAATCTTACTTCATTTTGTAGAGCATGCAATTCTGCATTGATTCATATATAGTAGAACATCTTAAAATACCAGCATGATATATATACTTTTAAATAAAATATTTGAGAGGCATAGGTTTCATAATTTTCTTACTTTTCTAAATTTTGATACAAATCTCAAGGATCTAGACATAGAAAAGCTGTTTTGTTTCGTTACAAATGTAGAGCAAACATTTGCGTACAAAATGAGACGTCGGCAAGCTCTCTACAATATTTTTTTATGATTTTACGCAAGTTTTACGACCAGTACTGTATCTGAAACCGGTCTTCTACTTGTTTTGTATCTCAGTTTTGATCCGTTGACCAAATGCAATAATTTTAATGTTAGCTGCATATGTCAAAACTTGATAGAAACTCTATTCTGCGAATTGTCTAACAATCTTATATTAAATCCGCTCGAGGTACTTTATGAGCTTGTCTCACTTTCTTTTAAAAAAATCTATAAAAGTATGGGACTTATTTAGAGCAGACATTTTTCATGAATTTTGGCGGAGGTTCTAAAGTTGTTGCGTTGCAGAGATATTCAATTTTTATGAAAAGCCCAAAACCACTGATATTCTGCCATCTAATGACATATGACTTAGACTAATCAAATTTACCATAAATACTCGATAGTGTCTACTACAAATTCACACAATCGCGAGCTCCGAACAGGTTTTCGTTCTTTACAGTAGATAACGCTGTGAGGGTCCAAATCATCGACATGTACGTTTTTGAGGATGATGCTCTCCCGAAAAATGGGATGAATTTCTCGCCCTATATGATATTGTTGGAGTACACCAGTTGTACTACCATGAGCCATGGCAGGATTTTAAGAATAATTTAAAACCCATCGGAAATCAATTGTGGTTTCTAGAAAATGAAAACTTGAAATGTTTTCATTCCCTTTGGGATTTTAAAGTCAGCCTTTTGTAGAGTATATTATGTTACACATGTCAAGCTATTTTTATAACTATGCAATTACTTTTAACTAAGTTTTAAATTTTTCAAAGACTAGAGTATTGCGTATGTTAAAACTTGATAGAAGCTCTATTCTGCGAATTGTCTAACAATCTTATATTAAATCCGCTCGAGGTACTTTTTGAACTTGTCTCACTTTCTTTTTAAAAAAATCTATTTTAGACGGTTCGGAGAACAGAATTTTTAAATATTACCTATATTAAATTGTTTAAAAGCGTTTGCGATCTCAATCATAACATGAATAGAAGTTTTTTTTTAGGCAAAATTTTCCTCTGAGCACAAAACATAGGTTTTTGGAAATAAAAGAATTTCCTTGACATACTGAGACTGAAATGTATCACCAAATCTTACACCTTATTTCTCGATTAGATATATATAATAAGTACCAGCACATACATACACACGCATAATACAAAAAGTGCGTGTAGAAAATAGTTCTGTTAAAGAACAATAGTTTGTGTTTTACATAAATTCACTTGCAATAATTGTATTAACTTGTTGTTTAACTTCATTTAATAATGATGATGTATCTGTTTGATTTAATTTAATTCGTTTGACTTGACTTTCTTTTTTATCATTCTTATAAATTGTTTCAATATTATGTAACATTATTTCAACATATTGTGTGAAGTCGGATAATAACAAAAATATATTTTGATCTTTTATATCACGGATAATATCAGTCATCAAGCGTACATCAGGCAAACCACCAAGATAACTATCCCAACCTGGACCTCCATTATGACAAAATGGGGTATGTCCTGGACAATCTCCAACCCACACTAGAATTTTAGCTACACGATCACCTTTTGTCCAATTTAATTTCAAAGCTTTGTCTAAACCACCCTGAACATCTTCACACAGATCGCCACCACCTGTGGCTTGTTGACTTGCAATTTTTGTTTCAACTGGACCAATATTTGGTATTTGATGAAAATCAATTGAATCATAACGATTACTGTCAGTATAATCACGATATGCAACAAATGCCATTCGAAGAATACTATCTTTATCATATTTTTCTTTCATGTCTTTTTGTACGCCATCGGCAATTGCTTTAATATGTTGTTTTGCTGCTAGAATCCAACTACCCATTGATCCAGTACAATCCATAACAAAGCAAATATCAACTGTTAATGGTGTATTATGAACACTATTTGAAAATGACATTTCAATTGCTCGTTTCGTATTTTGTGTTATTGAATCAAAATGTGTTTTCATTTCTTTTGTCCATACTTCATCAGTTGATGAATACAATTGATCATCATCACCACGTAATGAAGCTATTTTGTCATCATAGAATAAAGCATCATTCGGTGTTTCTCTATCACACTGTTCATTTGACCAATTAATTAGAGCATCACATAATAATAGAGGATTTTGTGCAATAATCCAATCATTGAATGCCAAACAAACGCCATTACATTCTAATCCAATACCAATGCCAATAACAGTGATTGAATGTTGTTCTATATACGATATAATATTTCTTATAAAACTGCAACGTCTATCATACCCATCGGTTAATGCAAATATATGAACATTGGTCCATGATTATTATTATGCGATGACTGTTGTTGTAATAATTCTGATGCAAGAAATATTGCATCACTTAATAATGTTGTTTCACCATCAATTTTAAATGAATTTAGTAAATGATATATGAATAAACGATCATAATTTTGTTTATAACTTTTAATTAATTGTACCTGTTTACCAAATGTTAATACATTAAAAGAAGTTGAAGGAAAAGCTGCTCCTCGGCTGCGAACTGAACCCAATACAACTCTCACTCGAAGCGTGTTTTCTTCAATACTAAAAAGCATTTTCTATCATGATCTACGTCTGGCTTGAAATATACCGAACATTGAAATTAAACTGATAAAAAAATTGTAATTTTTACCTTCTTTTTTTGCATTTGAAACTTTCATTTGTTGAATGTTGTTTCTGCTCGCAGTGTCTGCTGAGAAAGATGTATCATGTGCAGGTTGAAGTTGACTAAAAGCCGCATTTGAGGACTCCATGGATCCCTGTCTTTCGGAAGGATCATTTAAGCTTCGATGTGAATCATTTAGTATTGCTCCTCGACTCACGTTCGAAATTGATGAAGGAACTGAGCTTTCCAATTGATTATAATTATTTTTTGCACTTTTATTTTCTGGGCTGTCGGATATATTGCTACGATTTTGATTTTCTCCTGTAGTACTCTGTGCATTTCTACTTTGACCAGATGCTTGACTTGAAACAGACTCTCCCTCGGTTTGTGTTTGTTGGACTCCTCTGTTTTCAGTGTTCTTTCTTTGTATCGTCGTATTATTATTATCCGTTCCAGTAGATGATACAGCTCGACCATTTCGATTAGAAACGGCATAAGTTCCTTGTCCTTGACCTGATGATTCTCTAGTTGAAGAAGTTCCTTGACCCATAATTGAACTACTTCCACCACCAGATTGAATGGAATTGTCATCTCGGGTTTGACTCTGACTTGAACTTTGTCCGGAACTCGACGAACCGCCGCTACCACTTTGTGAGAAACTCGGTTCACCACTCGTACTACCACTTTGACTTGCATTTTGAGAAGTATCAGCCGAACTACCGCTCCCTCCACTCAATCTTCCTGCTCCTCCTTTGCCAGCCTTACCACCTGAAGAAGTCTTTCCACTGCTACCTTTACCTCCACTATTATCGCTTCCTTTTCCACCAAATAAACCCCTGAACAATCCTAATGTAGCAAGAAATAATCCAACGGCAGCTATGATGAGGCCAATAGGATCTGTCACTTTTAACAATTGTACAACAGCCAAAATAACGTAAATCGTCTGTTTTACTGCTTCCGGTAAGTTTGGTATCAATTCCATTACACTTGAAAGTACAGTGGAAGCGATTGATTGAAACTGAGCTGCTTTAGCGGCTAATGTTGGTGCATTGATGAATTTAGGTATTGCTTCAGCTAATTTCTGGATGTTTTTATACGTTGAATAGGATGTTTTAACAACATCGGTAAATCTTTGATCGACACCAAGCTGATTTGCAAGATTGACAGCTATATCGAAATACTGTTCCACTGTCAATGATTTGTCTGACATCAATGACTTAACAAATGGTTTAGCTGTATCTATTATTTTTTTGGTGTCTCCTCCAATTAAATCACCAGCAAAATCATCGAAACTAACTGACTGATTGTTGAGCTTTTTATTTATCAATGGGGATAATGCATGCGCGACGTTGACTGCCTGTGGGGGAAGGAATTGTGTTGCCATAATCATAACATTTTCTACAATTTGTTTTCGATCACCGGCTCTAATCGATTCAATGAGATCGGCAGCACTTTTGACTTTAGCAGCTTGTTCTGATGGCAAAAGTGACATGCTTAAATTCAAACCATGTTGAAGTAAATGTTCTGTTGCTAAATCTTTCGTTCTAACAATTATTTGTAGTTCCTTTGCTATATGATAAGCGGTTTATACTTCTGCTGGCAGAATCGATTTTAATTCACTATTATTCATTAGGGTATCTAACGCATGAAGTGGATCATTTGTTTCTGATAACGCTTTGCTAGCAGATTTTGCTATTGACAGAGCAAGATCAATTTTTTTAACATGTTCTGAAAAGAATTCTTGTACTATTAAATGTGCTGTGCTTCGTAGATCGGCTTTTTCTAATTTTTCTAATACATTTTCAACTACATCTAATATTTGTAATGTTCGATCATCCGCCATTATTTTTGCTACATTGAATGCATGCTTGATTGGATCTGTTCCCGATTGTTGTTTGATTAACTGACCTAGTGTTGTTGCAATTTTTTCAATTTCTTTTGGCGCATCTGGAATTAATTTTAGAACATCTTTAATAGCCGCAACTTCATCATGTTCAATAAGTTTTTGATGAATATCTGTAACAGTTTGTAGCATATTTGAAATTCTTGGTGAGGCTAATTGAGAAGCTAATTTTAATGCCGTCAGTGCAACATCTTTCATTTGATATGATGTTAATTCATTCATTTTGTCAATTGTTTGTATAACCGTTTGTATTCGATGTTGTTGTTCTTTGTCTACTATTAACTTAGAAAGGTGTTTGAGTGATTGTAATTTATTATTATTCTTTAATGAATCAAGTGCATTGAATGATGTTTCTAATATAGTTCCTGTTTTCTTTCCATAAATATCTGTTATATTATCAATTATTTGTTGTTGTGAATCTTTCGATTCAAGCAGTTGTTGAAGACCTGCTTGGAAGCCAAGCTGTATATTTTCTGGCAGCATAGCTGCTATTTCTTTTAATGCTTGATGTGGCTCTAATTTTCCACGATTCATTATTGTTCCTAGACCAAATTCGTGTGGTGCAAATAAATCTATAGGTATTAATTGTTGAGCTAAATTAATAATTTCCTCACCAGATTTATATTCTCTTGAATAATCGGATAAAACTAATTTCATATGGTGTGATAATTCTATTTCAGGTAACATTTCTAAAAGTTCATGTATAACATTCATGTGATTATCACTATTTAATTCTTTGAGCGCTTTTGCAATGGGATATACAACTTGTTTAACACTGTTATTTGGTATAAAGGAAAGTGTTTGATTCAATAATTCAGAAATATTTGATTCTGATATTTTACCATTAATAATTGGCATTAATATTTGTGATGATTCTAATAATTGATTTAAATAATAAATAGTTATACCGGCATTTGTTCGATCATCCACATGAACGTAGTCTCAATTGTACATCTACTTTAAATCCCTCTAATGGAGCATTTTTCTTTATTTCAATAATCATTGTTGCTTTAGTTAAGTATTGTGTAGAAAGATTTAATATTGTTTTTCCATTGAAAGAATAAATAAACATTGGATTTTCTTTCGTATCTAATTCTAATTGAGCATTCATGTGACCATCATTTTTAATCTTAATTGGAAATTCAATTTTTCCTCCACGTTCAATAGTTTTACAATTTAATAATAATGGATCCAATGACACTAGTGGTGCCAGACGCCGACAATGAAATGGTATAGTTACTGTTGAATCTTCACAATTTGTT